GCATCACTTTACCAATATGCTAAGACGGCTTAATTGAATCTTTAGCTCATCTCTCACATATATTATGATTCAACAATCGAAAATGAGTAAGAAATACAAATTTTGATCCATCATTAACCCATTTCCACTAGGATGGAATACCAACCCGAAAAAGAAAACAATATGCCTTATCTGTCATAGGTGAATACCAAGGATACGGGTTGAACTATTTTTCTTGAAATCATCAAGATTGAGATTTTATTTGTATCTTTGGATACTCAACAAGTTTTGGTTGATAAAGCTCAAGTTTTAAATATGCCACTCTAATCTCATCCAGTATATTAGCAAGTATTTCAAGTATTTTCTTTCTTTTCCTCGGTTCTCATTCAATGATAGTATTTGAGAATGAATGACGATTGATTTCTGGTGGAATTGAAGGTTGAACTTTGTTTAGTCCATCATAAGTTGTACTTTCACTAAGTCGATCTACCCACTGAAAGAATGAAAACAAATTCATATTCTTCTTGGAAGGAGGTTTACCTTCCAGTTACAATTTCTTAAAATTGTAAAAAATAAAAATTATTCCAACAACAATCCAAAAATAATTCATTAAGCCAACAAAATAACAAAAACAATTCAATATGTTGATAAGGCAATAACATCAATTCACTAAGCTAAAAGACGATAAGGTAACACCAAAACTCTTTAAGTCAACAAGGTAACAATTCAACAATTACAACAATAATTAACTAATTTGATGACGAGGCACAACATTCAATTTCAATAATTTGCCTACAAGACAATAAGTAGGGAGATGAGCACTTACTATGGAGTGGGAAGTATATTCAATCGTATCTTGTAGGCCACACATTTACACACCTTCCGAATTTACTTGTGACAGTAGCAATACTGAAACTTTGAAAATGAAAAACAATATATTCTTTTACTACTCTTTTATTAGATGCTTGTACAAGAAAAAATTATGCCAAATCAATACTGAAAATTAAAACTAAGAATAATGTAGAAGAAAAAAACATCATAAGATAAAAATTTAAAAATAAAATAAAACTCATAAGTTATAACACTTCACTAAATCACCTTGAGTGATGGAGAAGAGAAGACAATTAGAAATAACATTTTGATTTATGGATTGGACATGGAGATTGAGAAAAATTAGATTTTGATTTACAGTAGCAACCAACAGGTAGTCTGTAAAAGGTAAGGAGATAGATTAGGTTTGGATGCTTGGGATTGAGATTGGGATTTTGGGTAAATAAATTCATTTTTTTCTTTTAGGCTTAAGTAATTGGACTACTATTTTATTTTGAGCACGGGATGTTCATTAAATGGACATGAGCTCTATAAATAAAAGGGACATTAAGTAGATCTAAGCTAGGACGGGCACGATCTCTAGTTTGGCCTGCCCGTGCCTATATTCACCCATGACTTTATTTGCTTCTATCGTGACTATTGAACTAGTATTTTTAGCTACAAAACACGTGAAGATAGATCTCCGTAACAGAATGGAGGACGACTTTTTTGCTGATTATGACACTCTTCATCAAAAGAGAACTTGCAGATAAAATAGATATAGAATTTATTGTAGATGAATTGTACGTTTAACCTCGTCGATAACAGCTTCAAATTACATGAATTTGACTTTAATGTTACATATGAATTTATTATATTGACTGTTAAAATTTAGCCTCAATGTCCAAAATTCCTAAATCCACCCCTGTAGAGCACATGGTCAAAAATATTAAACACTACTCTTGTTTGGCTCTTACTCCTTACATCAGCAAGACACAATAAAATTAAATATCCAATCAATTTAGCTCCATACACTATCTATCTTTCATTGCCTACTAGACTAGCAACAATTCACTAGAAAACAATAGGCTTCACTTAGAGGAAGAAGGCAATCCTAATCAAGAATAAACTATTAACCATCCTTACAATGCAATCATATTTTTACGTTAGGCTAGGCCGTTATTTAGAAGACGGATTTTTTCTCAGTCAATACTGAACCAAATAGTATATTAGCTAGAAACATGAACAATATCTCGAATACGCAATGCATAAACAAAGTTGGAAGGACAAGATATTGTTGAGTACTGAGCTAAATAATAAAGATAAGAAAATAAGAGAATATGAAAAATTATGGATCATACAAGAACATAAGATTAATGTGGAAAACGATGACAATTTTAACATACCAAGAAACTAATTTTTTTTTGCAAGATTTGATACTCTCAATCTAAATCTAAACAATCCTTTCAAGTTCTATCATATACAACAATGATCTTATTGTTAGTAGAGTTTATGAAGAGCCTACACAACGTGGAGTATATATAAGAGCTCAATTCTAGTGTTTTGAATGAAATAGAATATAAGAATCACTGTCAAAATCGGATTCTATCCAAACAGGTGGGGTTTCGACACTAGGTTGGTGTCCCAGCGCAACCAGGCCTCTTTTGCTTCATTGGTCACCCCGGCATCATGCCTAGGCGCTTGGTCTGGCTATAAACTTTCCAAAGGTATTTTTATCATTCCAAAGTCTTCTTCCAATCAAACTCCCAAATCTTGATGATACTTGACCCCTCTTCAAATAAGACTTCGAAACAAAAATGATCTAGGCTTCCTCTATGAACCAAACTTCAAATAACATGGAATTTAAGTCATATCATAACAAACTCCACATTGAAACAAATTACATAACAAGGAATTAAGTCTTCACTTCAAGTCATTCTTTACCTCTTCCACCATATCCCTTCCATGCACCTCCTGCCCTTTCCAGGCATACTCAGCAATTGCAACTAAAATTCAAGTCATGTTTGCCAACAAAACTACCTTGCTCGCTAAACCAACCTAAATTATTTAGTTTGCTACCAATTCTATTTTCAAGTCACCAAACCTGGTCGAATCACCATGAGCAACCCGATCACAATTAACTCTACCCCAAGTTATGGCTTATCATATCATAAGTTGTAATTGTATCTAAAGTGATCATTAAACCTTCCAAAAATATTGCCAGGACTTTCTCCACCCTTTCAACACAATCTTGACACACTTGCTAATTTTCAGAACTCTACCTCCATTGGTATATTTGTATCCTTTTGAATCAAGACTATACAAGAAATAATATTTTTGTTTGAACCTAGAAAATGTCTTACAAAACCAAGTGTCCTGACTATCCATTGAACATCTTGATTCTGACCTTACCAACTATTTTACAAGGCTTATTATTTCTCATCACCACGGAATCTCTTGTAATTGCTTCATATGAAGAAAAACAATAGATTAGAACATATATGAAAATTGCAGGCCATATCAAGAATCCAATCATTGTAGGTTTGGAGTCATTGTTAGAAATCACCAAAAGATCTCCATCATTGAAATCTTCTTTTGCAAGATTGACATCACCAAAATTTCTTGGTTGTCCGTTTTGATCTATAGTAGCAAACTTATCCCTATTCCACCACACATAGCAATTATTCTTCATGTGTCCCTTGTTATTACAATGCTAACAAATTTTATCATTATTGCTATCCTTGACTCTGCCCTTCCATGACCACCTGTCTTCTTCTTATGAATAACAAGACTATGCCTGGGCCTCATATCTGACAATCATATGCTTCATCTTCTCTTTAGAATAAAGCGCATCATATATCTCGTCAATAGTGAATGTATCCCAACTGTAGAGAATGTATCTTTAAACGTTACATATGAAGGCGGCAATAAACATAACAATATCAACCCTAAATCCTCTTTATCGTACTTGACCTCTATGGTATCCAAATCAGCCACGATTTCCTCAAACACCAATAGATGATCTTTTAAAAGATCCATTTTTCTGTCAAGTAATGAAAATTCAAGCATTGCTTTAAGTATAACTTGCTGGTCAAGCCTTTATCATACAAAACTACTCCAATTTCAACTACAATCCAGTGACACTTTGCTCCTTTACCACGTCCAGAAGAATTTGATTAGAAAGATGAAGATGTATTTGATATAGAGCTTTTTGATCCTTGCGTTGTTTTTCCTCCGCATTCGTTGTTGCGAGCATTCTGTCGATACTCGATAGAGCATTATTCAAGTCTAATTGAGCAAAAACGGCTCACATATTAATCTATCACAAGGAAAATTTACTATTACGATCCAAAAATAGAATCTCAAGTTCCTTAGTTCCCATCCGTGAAACAATTGATTTGGTTCAAACCTCGTTTTAATAAACAATTTGAACCTCCCAAGAATTTCCAAACAAACCTTAGCTCTGATATCAATTTCTTGAGAATCAACACAAATAATAAAGACCAAAAAAAAAAAGCAATATGAAAAATAATAAATCACATAAGAACACAAGATTTATGTGGAAGAAGATGAGAATTTCAATAAACTAAGAAACTAAATTTACTAGACAAAATTTGATACTCTCAATTTAAATCTAAACAATCCTCTCAAGTTTCTAATGTATATAACAATGATCTTATAGTTAGTTGAGCCTACGAAGAGCCTGCACCATGTAGAGTATGTATATGAATCCAATTTTGGCATTTTGAATGGAGTAGAATACAAGAATCACGGTAAAAATCAGATTCTACCACGAACATGTGGTGACCCAGCACCAGTCTGCTATCCTCTTTTTCACTTCATTGGGGGCCCCGATGTCACAACATGGTGCCTAGGCGCCCAGTCTCGGCTTCAAATCTTCCGAAGGTACTTTTAATCCTTCCAATGTCCTTCCAGTCAATCTCCCAATTCTTGATGAAATTTGAACCCTCTTCCAAACTAAAATTATCTAGGCTTCCTCCATGAATCAAACTTTCAAATCACATGGATTTTAAGTCATATCATAACATATATAAAATAAACCACCACCACCTACTTACTTAAACAGACACAGTAGAACAAACCCAAGTAGATGGCGGCCAAAACATCTCGGAGTAATCATTGTAACTATCAATTAGTCCAATACTCCCACTTTTCAAATCAAACATTCCGATACCTCGACTCTTCCACACCTAATCATCTTCTTGACACAAAACTAACTCATCTGTAACCAATATGCAATTTTCTTTAACCTCAAAAGCTGAAAATGTATAATTATCATCTATAAACAATAACCTATCACCCAAATTGTTCACTTCCATCCATTTTCCAGCATTTTCATCCAACCTGTAAACCTTAAACTCCACCTTCTTCTCACTCGTATAACAATCAAATTCCTCGTAAAACCCTAAACCTTCATCGTACCCCAAACCATCTTCCGAACCAACAGTCAAATATTTATCTACTAACAACAAATCTCAAGATAAATCAACCAAGAATTTCTTGTCCCCACCAAAAATTGAATGTGCAACAACATTTACACTTGGAGACCTCCCTTCATCCATTTTCATGACAACAGCCTTCCCCATACTATCAACTGCATAAAAACTCCACTCCCTGAAGATCATATCATAAGGCGAAGACAGGTCATTGATAACCGTCCATTTCTCATCACTAGATTTGTACATCACTAACTTCCCAGATAAATAGTCAATATCACAAGCCCATCTTTTTCAACACCTGAAAAATTCAGACTAGCTGCAACTTTTTCTACGTAAAGATTCCAGCCTCTCAATGAAATTAGCTAGCTTGCTAAAATTGGTATACTGGTCCGTTCGTGTATGAAGTTGATATCTGATCTTCGAAAGAAACAATTGTAACGGCATTCCAAGGATTCTTGCAATCCAACCCATGATCCTTAAAGAAATTAAAAAAAAATTACATATTGAATTAATAAAAATACTAATTTGCTTACGGTTGTTCACATTTGAAGTGAGGACTCGATTTTATCTATTTATACAGCAATTCTAGTAGATTGCTGGCTTGTCAATTATAGTTTCTGTAGCAGCAGAAGAAAGTGGCAGGCTTGGTGAGTGGGTAGATATAATTACATATTCCCACCTCGAAAGAGTGGTGGTCTGAGAAAGAGGGTCTCCACTATAAAAACACCTAATTTGTAATTTTATAAACAAGCAGCCGTGCAGTGAGCACAGAGCGAATTATTCTTTCGCCTTTTACTAAAGAATACCGTGTGCTCGTTGCAATATAGCGGCATACTCCAATTTTTAGAGGGTTCCAAGCCATTTGGGTTGGTCCCCTTCGATTCTAGTTGAAAATTTATTAGAAGTTGCTTCTTGTTATTTTTTCTAGGGTCCCTTTATTCTGCCATCTACTTAGATTAGATTTAATCTTTTTATACATCTGATCATGATCTGAAGTTTTTTAGAAGTTGCTTTTTGTTATTTCTTTTTCGTTACCTTAAATCCGCTATCTACTTAGACTACATAATCTTCATATCCATCCTATCATAATCTAAATTCACGGAATTTCTATTAAATTAGAACAATCTTAAAAGGGCGCAAAAATAAATAAATAAAATAAAATAAAAATTGCACAGTTTTATCTCCAAATTTCAGTTCCTTAGACTCAGCCTGGCTTCTAGATGAGCTTCGACTTTTGGGCCTATGAACTGACTCGGGCCTGGCTTGAGGCTCAGCCCACGAGTTCATCCATTTGAATTTTTGGGAATAATACATAAGTCGGACATTAACCGTGGCAATGGGCCGAACTGGTTCAGCCCATCTACCCATGAGCTCGTGTTCAAGGGTCGAGCTCAATTTAGCCCACGAGCTCAATTTTTTTCATAAAAAAAATGTCATTTTTACACATAAATTCTTACTCTTTAGATGTTTGATCGACAATTTTTTATGGAAAATAGTTTTCAACTTTTGATCACGTGACTATATTTTCCTAAAAAATAAAGAAAATATTTTCTTTAGAGAGAGGGGTAATTTTTATTTCTTAGGTAATTCACTATCTCTTTCTCTTTCAGATTTATCCACTTTCTCTCATCTATCCACCAATAAAAAACTGGATAAGTATAATATTTTTTTAGTTGAAAACTAAATCAATTAAACACATTTAGGGTGTGTTTGATTACATTTCAATTTCCCACCCCAATTCCTACTTTGAGTATTATTTTTTTCCATTGAAAATATTTTTCAACTTTTAAAAATATATCTAATTTTTCTTGTTTTTAAGGAAAATATTTTATTGGGGGGACGGGGGAGGTGGTTTTTGTTTTCCTCAAAATAAAGAAAATATTTTCTTTTTTAGGTGATATTTTTCATGTCAATCAAACATACTCTTAGTTACTAATTTCCTTACAAATAAATTCTAGGCAATTGAATTATCTATAATTTACTTTCTTTTCATGCAAATTCTTTTATCTAGTACCTTAAATTGCACAAAATTGGAGATAAATATAGTTTAGTTCAATTAGGTTCTCATGCCGAGTACTGCTCAGAATTATGCGCACAAAACTAAATAGACGTAAAAACAATGTTCGTTAGAAATTTGCAAGTGCATGATATCTTGAACATGTACATAAGAGTAAGTAGACCATCAATTCCAAGAAACTTGTATCCATTTATTAAATTAATTAATTTTAGAATTAACTAAATTTACATAAAAAGAAAATAAAATTTAGGTAATACAATTGCCTAGAACTTATTTGCATGAAAATTGTTAATTAAATGTGTTTAATTAATTTAATTTTCAACCTAAAAAATATCATTATTGTCCTTTTTTATTGGTGGGTTGATGAGAGATGGTAGGTAGATGAAAGAGAAAAAGAGAGAATGAATTCTCTAGAAAATAAAATTACATTCCCCCCCCCCCCCCCCCCCCTAAAAAAAAAAAAAACACCCCCCCCCCCCCCCCCCCTCTCCACAAGAAAATATTTTCCTTGATTTTGAGAAAAATGTGATCATGTGAACAAAAGTAAAAAAATATTTTTCATGAAAATAAATGGCAAGCAAACATCACAAAAATAGGAATTTGAATGGAAAAATTACATTTTTCATGAAAAATATTTGTAATCAAATATACCATAATACTAACTTAATTAATCCCTTATTTGATTACTATTATTTTCAAAATACATTTTTTCTCTCTTCTTTTCCATCATACATTTTTTAATAAAATAATAATACGTGCAAACCCAAAGCATTTCCTTACTTTTTAGCCATATATTATTTATCAATTTATTGTTTCAAAATAGATTCTTAGAATTTAATGAGCTCAAACGGGCACCTAAAAACATTTGAAGAACTTTGGAAAAGTTTCAAATTTGGGAAAGGTGACATATTTCACATTATTATTTATACTGATGATTGACGTCCCTAAATTATTTGATAATCTTTTGGATAGAATTAAACCTGTATTTGCTTTTAAACTTTTTATATTTATCTTGTGAAAGTTGCTAATAAGTGGAAGCAAATTTATCAAGAATAAAACTCCCTGCACAGGCCCTTTTGCACAGGGTATGTATAGGTGCACACACATGGAGGTGGACCCCAGACCCTGTGCAAAAGGGTCTGTGTAGGTAGCACAACTGATTTATCAAACATCAATTAAAAATCGTATAGGTCATAGGGATATGTTTGTACTCTCCATTTAAGTCTTTATGATGGGATTCTCCAATTATAATTGATGGGATTCAATCCTATCATATAATAGTTTATTTGATCCATCATATAATTGAAAGTGGTAAAACTTTAGAATTGATCCATCATAGGGATGTGTTTGTATTCTCATATAATTGATGGCTCAACTTTAGGGATATATTTAGATTTTGTATTCTAAATAATTGATGTCTCAACTTTAGATTGATGGCTCAATACGAAATCTAAATAATTGATAGGATTGATGGCTCAACTTTAAGGCTATTTGATGGATCACATAATCGAAAGTGGTCAAACCAATAACGAATAATCAATCAAAAACTTATACTTGAAGTCAAAAACAATAAATTGAAATAAAACTTCAAAAATCTACATCGTCATCTGAGCTGTTGAGAATTCAGATACACACATTCGAAATAATTGAGCACGTAAAAGTTGAGCTCAAAATCCCCAATTCTTCTTCAATTTGCCAAAACTTCATATGTAGATTTTGTCTTTTCACTTCAACTTCAATTTTTGGCTTCTAATTTTCAATGTTGCTCCACAACACCTCTTTTCTTCTCATTTTGCACTTCTTTCTTGTTAATGCACATCGAGGCTTGGAATATCATATTAAAAGAATGAAAAACATGCTACGAAAGCAGAAATCAACTTTGAAATACTACCAAAATCTTTGTAACTTGTAAGAGAGCCAAGTAAACAAAGTAAATTTATCAATTTCGATCCGATCTGATTCTTTTTATACTTTATTATATAAAAAAATAATCCCGTGAATTTTCTCATTTTGTTTTTTCTTTTCCCGGACAATAAATGTTATGATAGTTTCCCACAATTAGTTCATGTAATTTCATAAGAATTAATTTAATATTTTTTAAAATGAAATTGCTGAACATAATTAAAGTAGTAGCGTAACGAGAAAACAGATGTAAATTTTAAGAAACATAATCAGTTAAACTTTAATTAAAATCTAATAGAACCAGTTAATTTGATTAGAATCTAATACAATACGGGTAGCTATTGTTTCGCGCGGGTTATTCGCTAACAATTAAAAAGGATCAGACGATCGTGTAAGGGACAAACCTCTTGAGACAAAGTCCCAAAAATGGGCGTTCTTTTTTTGGCGATGACTTTACAATTGGGAATCAAAAACAAAGTGCCTCCAAAGGGCGCAAACACACGAGTTACTGAAAGAAAAGTGTTTAAGTCTAAGCGAAGGAAATTAAAATTACATGTTTTCTGTTCGAGAGTTTTTGATTCGGTCCTTTGCTCTATGTTTTTTCTCCCTTTTATACTTCATGGACGATCTCTTTGTGATCAACCACCTAAAAACTGTTTGATCGTCCTATAACTGCCCACTTTCCTCGTAATGGCCAACTTGTCATGAAAACTGCCTTCTTTTAATTGCTGTCATTACTCTTCGTCGTTCAACCGCTTTCGATTGAATTCCTTGAATCGTGGAACGTGATAGGGCTGCTTTAACAACTGCTTTGATAACTGCACTTCTTGATAACCACAACGCTTTATGTTTGTTAAAACCTTGGGCGACTTGAAAGTTTGGGCAAGAATAGAGTAACAGCTCTGGGCGACTGTATGGCATTCCATTCGCTCAGATTCTGGGCGACTTGCAAACTTGGGCGATGGCGTTACCGCGTTCTTAGGCCTCCCTATTTGGCCTTCGTCTTGATTTGTTTGATTGGGCTTCGTTCTTTAGGCTATCTGATTTGGGGATCTTTCAATTGGGCTTCACTCCTTGGGCCGTTCGATTTGGGCTGAATTTTTATGTGTCAACAATTACCCCCAATATGGCAGAATTAATAACAATTATTAAATTTTGCCATATTCACTTTGTGTTTCCATCAACATTCAAAATTCTCAAGAATTTCAATCATTATTTTCTTCTATAACTTGAAAAGGTGCGTCGTTTTGCAAACCCTTATAACCCCAAACACGCCATTCCACTGCACCATTAAATCACGCCTCAAATTTTTGCGTCTCTTTCACGATTTACTGTTCATCTTTTACTTCCCTGCTACGTAACCCTGAAAAACTTCGTTCCTTCTCAAATGGCTACTTCACAATCTCAAGCTGACGACTCCTTTAGTTTTGATGACTTTCAGAAACTTCTGAGTCGTCCATACATAACTCCGAGTTTTCTCGCGCCCGCCAATGTCGAACGTAATGAGTTCTACTTGGGTCCTTTCTTCAACAACGCGGAGGCAGTTGAACAGGCGGCGGTGGGTCAGCTGTTTCCTTGCACTCAAGGCCCTCCATTCCTAAACTCTCTACCGCTAGGGCCACTTCGCGAAAGAGGTATTCGCACTTGGCCTAAATCTGATGTAACTTTCCGTAGGTGGCATGCTCGTCTTGTGGGTCATGGCCCTACTAAGGCACTTTTTGATAGCGCTAGGATTTCTGATTTGCTAGAAATCTCTATTCGCCCCCCTACTTTTGATTCAGCACTCTTTTCGATTGCTTTGAGTTTTTGGTCTTTCGAGTATAATACCTTTATTTTCCCTCTTGGCCCCATGTCTATTACTTTAAGGGATGTTGGGGCCCTGATGAATCTACCACCTTTGGGCGATACTATTTTTCCTAGTATCTTGGTTTCTGGTGGCGCCC